ATACAGTATAGCCATTTCTCTTTTTTTAAACAAAAGTGAAGGATCAATTTGGCCGTTACTAAAACCAATTGCATTATCAAGCAAAATCTGATTTCTCGTTGTGTATAGCTGGCTCTGAAAAAAACAAATTCGTGTGGTCGCTTGACATGATCAGGATTGGATAATGCCAAACAAGCGGCAATATCATACTGAGATTTTTTTTTGCGGTGGCAATGACAGGGTTCTAAATAACAATCCCACAAATATGCTAATTTAAAAGTTCATCAAGCGAGTAAATGTTGTCATAAGTAATTGATATTTTGGTAGTTGTATTGGCCTCGACGGTATGTTCTAGGAGGTTATATCTAAAGATTATTTAAATTTTAAAATCAAGCAATATGCAAATAATATATATTACTTTATTTACTGCAGTACATAGATTAATATACTTATATTTAATTTCATATATTTTTTAGAATATCATATAGAAGTTCAATATCAAATTGATAATTACAATTTTCGTTTTTTAACATTTTTCTTAAACTGAAAAATTAAAAAAGTTAACCCTATACAGGGTGTTCCTAAATATCATGTACATAAGGGAGTAGGTAATTCTTTGGCTTAATTCATGACTAAAAGTTCATATAAACGTAGGTCCGCAAACGCTTCGTTACCGATCTACAGGGTGTTGAAGTTTTAAGATTTTCTTAGTTTTTTCTCTATAGCTTCCACAGTTTTTGAGATATTTCGGTCAAATTTGAAATATAGGTTACGCTGTAGGGCTCACATCATTGGACATGTCAAAGGGTCGTGATATTCTACAGAGTGATATTTTTTCGGGGTTCACGCCCCATTCGCCACTACCTGTTAAAAATTAAAGATGGGATGACCCATTTCAAAATTCGTAAAATTTGGCATTGTTATGAGATTATAATGAGTATTTAAAACACTTTTACACCTTACAGTTTGTAACATAAACCTTTAATTTTTACACATATGCAGACCCAAGTTACTATTTCAAATGCGAACTGTTAAAATTAATAGAAACAAGAAATCGTCTAAATACAGCCAGAGCCTACTGGGCCATTTTAAGAATTTAAATTTCATCTAACGAATTACATAAAATCGTTTTTTATTTCTTTTCTCGATAACGGTCGTAGATACGAAAAAATCATAAGAAGCAAAAAAGTTTCTCAACGAAACATAAAATTCAATTTTGATTTTAGATCTACCAGCGGCGCACCGCACAAAAGTTCAGGGGAAGAAAAGGGGCATGAACCCCGAAAAAATATCACTCTGTAGAATATCACGACCATTTGGCATGCCCAATGGTGTGAGCCCTATAGCGCAACCTATATTCCAAATTTGAGCTGAATATCTGAAAAACTGTGGGAGCTATAGAGAAAAGACTAAGAAAATCTTAAAACTTCAACACCCTGTAGATCGGTAACGAAGCGTTTGCGGACCTACGTTTATATGAACTTTTAGTCATGAAATAAGCCAAAGAATTACCCCCCTTCATTATGTACATGATATTTAGGAACACCCTGTATATTACCATTTAGTAATGTTTCGGTGTGGAAACTTATCCTCAGTGTTAGTGTTCTTTAAGAATGTCAGTACTTACTTCTTACAGTTTTGTATTCAAAATATAATAACAACATTAATCTCTTAATAAAGTTAATATATTTAATGAATGATATCAGATTAGTAAAATTTCTATTATTAATATTCCCAAGGTTGATTTTGACGGTACAAAATTATAATTTTCTGTGGCAGTCCGTAGAACAAAATCAAAAATATATTTTTTTATGCTCGTGTGACCTTAATGAAATACAATATTGTATTATTAATATTTAGATAATCTTCAAATTAGGTTTTTTCACACAAATAGATATACAGGGTGATTTCACTATAATTTCAGAAATTACAGTAATTTGTCTCTTAGAAAAAAATAAATATGTGGTATTCTATAAACTTTTGCTTCAAAAGCCTTAAGTTCTCGAGATATAAGCACATCTTAAATGTCATTGCTACTCAAAGCTTATTATTTGCACAAAGCACTACTTTGTACCTATTGACACAGAGTGACCTTCTAATTAGAACAAATCATGCCTTCATAGTCCCGTACCAGGTGAAATACACCCGTCTCACATTCAGTTACACTCCCAAGTAAACAATTAAGATTATTAATTGGCTTCTTGGTTCTCTTCAATATGCCATAGATGGCACAACTGATGGACGATTTTAGCTATTTGAATGATTATGTACCGACATATTTTGTGTATGGCACAAAGTCTGTGTCTGACGCTTTTTCAGGCGAAATTCTCGAAATTAAATTTATATTGGTCACTAACATAAAAATGCTTGTAGAATATAATTTAGCAGTTACCAAGCATTATTATGAAGTATAAAATGACAGATGGAGTAGATGGACAAACAGGTGAAACAGGTACATTTTTAAAATAGAGTTATGTTAATTGTTTATTAATTAATCTGTTGAATAATTAATATGTGTCCTTCAAGTGATGCTCTTCCTTTTTTATGATCCGATAATAATATAGAAGTGTTGCTGTTAAAATGATAAATGTTGAGTGTATGTTAAGTGCTACTATTTATTAGGTACGTTTATTGAAATCACACGATCTTAGTTTTTGTTGGGAACCATAAAAGACTACTGTTATGCTAATTATATAATTCCATTACGTAATTCTACACTGAAATGAAATATTTCTACTTAATTGTAAAAATTAACTTTTTAAACTTGATTATTAATTGTATTGGTATGAAGACATCTAAATTGTTAAATCGTCAAATGTTCCACCCATGTCATACTGATGAGAAGCAATTAGTTCGAAACTTGCCTATGTCTTATGATTCTTTTGGCGAAAAATCGTAGCTATTTACTAGATATTGCAGATGTAATTCAATGCTGGGTAAAACATTTAACTCGTATAGTAGTTGGTTTCTCACAATATCGTTAGTTAAAAATTGATAAGATTGTATTCTGTGTTTGGATAATACAAAATGTAAGATGTTTTTTGTATTTTTGTCTACTAGATAATAATATAGGTAATACAATAGTAAGACAGTATTGTTCATTTTTCTTTATAGTTTTCTTTGACCGACTAAATTTTCTAGCAGCTACCTAAAGCATTACGAATTGGCAAACAATTGGCAAACATTCGTTCTGCTGAACCAACGTTTTGTCTACATTCACTGTATATTTATCAGTCAACCACCAGACTAACACCTTTTTTACACTTACGGAACGATTTATATAAGAATAATAATAAATACAGGGTGGTCCCGAGGTAATGAGTACATTTTCCAAGCAAAGATATTGCGATTTAACTGAACTTACCTTAGTCCTAAAGGTGATAGTTAAAGAGATACAGGGTGTTAAATGCAAAATATTGTTTCAGTTTTTTTTCATATTCCTTAACAAATGCAAATATCCTCACAAAATTTTGGGGAATGAAGTTCTTTGAGTAGAGGAATTGAAATCTGTTCACATTTTGGTTAAAGTTCATAGAGGGTGCTACCTGCAGTAGATTGAATGTGTTGAAACCGACATAACTTTTTTGTACTTTAAGGTATCTCATCTTTAGTATCATATTATTATTTTCCAACTTTTTTGCACAAAAAGGCTCTCACTCTATGAGAGTAGCTATCTTGCACCGTTTTTGAAATATTTGGCTTTGAAACTTCCAATGCTGTTGCATTAAATTACAATTAAGTACCTACAGGTATTATTAATTTAGCGATAAAGTTTGTTAAGTAGGATTTGGACAAAAATCAAATAATTGACGTTTTCCACTGGTCTTATTGCCGTCATTTATATGCTAATTTCTATTAAGTATTATTCGTACCTAATTACGTCTTAGCTTACAATTTAAATTGTATACTCGTATACATAAATGTGAGATAGAATGCCGAGATTTTCATTTTTGGAGTTACATGAAATCAGTTGTTTATGGAGAAACACCTGAGAACAACTTTAACAGCAGGTTTTAAATGCTGCAAAGTCATTTCGCGTTAAGGATTTATACATTTTAAAAAAGACAATCTTTTAATAAGCGCGTAGATAAATGTGTTGAAGTTGAAGTTGACATTTTAAGCAATTATTGTCAAAAAGGCATATTTTTTACTAATATTTTACTGTTCATTACAATTTTTAATTCTATATAAACCCTTGTTTTTGACATTTCTACATGTTTTTAATTATTTCAACTATGAGCATTGGAAGTTGCAAAGCCAAATATCTCGAAAACAGTGCGAGGCAGCTACTTTCATAAAGTTGACCTTGTTTGTGTAAAAAAAGTTGGAAAATAAGAATTTGATACCAAAGATGAGATACCTTAAAGTAAAAAAAAGTTATGTCGTTTTCAACACATTCAATCTACGGTAGCTGACGCCCTCTATGAAGTATAACCAAAATGTGAACAAATTTCAATTCCTCTACCCAAAGAACCTCAAACCCCAAAATTTTGTGTAGATGTTTGCATTTATTAAGAAATAAATGGAAATAAACTAAACTAATATTTTACATTTAACACCCTTTATCTCTTTAACTATCAACTTTTGGACTAAGGTAAGTTCGGCTAAATCGCAATATTTTTGCTTCGGGATTCTACTCATGAATTTTGGCCCGTTATATCGGGACCATCTTGTATAAAAGATATTGTCCAATATTTGCCGTCCGTTATTATTTTTTTTTTTTGAAAAAATGCGCTACTTATGTGCTAGTTCTTTTTTTTTTGTCAACAAATTCAGTCTCGTGTAGAAGGAATATCTTACATTTAATTATATTATCTATGGAGCTCAAAAAAAATCTGCAGTGGAAAAATAAAGAATATTTGCTTTAAGTCATTCTAGATTCCGAAAAGTTTTAGCAGAAAGATTCCATTTATACAAAAATAAATCATATTTTGCCCTCCAGACACCGCAGAGGTCGAGGCTACTTTTTAGCGATTTAATATAAATAAAGAGCTAATTTCCGCCACTTGTTTGAACAACGACGAACGAGGAAGATACAAGCGATTTACGCGAGGGTATTTCAGTAATTCAAGGCTGATCGTGTAGACTGTGATAACCGATCGTTGCTTGTTTCTTACCTATTGTTGTTTGAGACTCCTACTTCGCGATGTACCGTCTACTTTTTGTTTTGGTGACTGTGGCTCTGGCAGCAGACGCGAAAAAGCTTGGTAAGCTCCATAAAATCTAATATATTGAATTCTCGAAAAAGAAAATTTATATAACAATTTGAATTTTGAATTTGAAACATTTTTCTTTAATTTGTCTGATGGAAAATTATTCTGAGATGTATATTTTTATAAAAAAAAACATAAAAAAAAGTTGAAAGTGGCGAATTCAAACACGTGTAAAAATTATTATTATTATTTCTGGGAAGAGCAATTATAAGTATATGATAATTTTGGCCATCTTTAAAAAGGTCTATTTAAATTTTTATTATAGGTATTTGAATACATAATATATTATACTTAATAAGCAAACAAAATAAAAATATTGATAATTGAATAATTTAGAGGTCAAACTCGTTTACGATATTTAAAGAAATTGATTCAATTACCTATATATTTTTTTCAAGGTCAATGTTTTATAGTTTGCACAAGAAAAGAGGCAACATTTTTATAGAAAATTTTCTCTTAAAAGTTATCTAGTCTTTGATTGTAGAATAACTATACTTTAACTAAAAAAATATACTAAGTTTCGAGTTAATTTTTAAATAATGTAAGCAAAAGTAATTATGTATAAAGAAAAAAATAGTTATACTGATTCTGATTTTCCCTTTCAGCAAGCTTCATCAAACCATGTAAAAGGAACGATCCTGATTTAAATGGATGTGCGAAAAGAAATGGTCTGGAAGCTATCCCGTATTTATTAAAAGGTAAATTGTAAAAAATCTATAGTCATTAATTAACCCGTATTAAATATAAGTACTTAATAATAAAAACTGTTACATTAAATTTATATTTGTAGGCTCAATATCTGAATAATTGCAAAAAATAATTTAGAATTTAGCAAACACTCTTATAGTTTAAAGTGAATGGCGGACAAAATAAGAGGAACATTTTTTAACTTGAATTATGTCTAATTGTGTATTATAATATATTGCATAATTAATGTGTCCTTCAAAGGATGTCCATCCTTTTTTATGGTCCGATAATAATATACAAATTTTATTGTTAAAATGGCAGGTGCTAAGTGTGTTAAGTGCTAATATTTATTACGTAGGTATATTCGTTGATACCAAACATTTGTTGACCATAAAAGAACTACAGACAGATAAGTTATTCTTCAATATATTGTCAATACTGAACTCTAGAAAATTCTCATTTTTATATAGTCATAGAAAAATGTATTGATTCATACAGTAAAATCTATGGAAAAGTCAAAAAATAACTTTCATTCAGAAGAACTTATTCTGAATTACGTTTCAAAAATAACAGCTTCTATAATAATCATAATATTAGTCCAATTAACTAAGCCTTTAAATCGAAATTTTGTCAACTTGGCTGAATTTTTGATATGAGTTAGTTTAAGGTATATTATAACAATAAGTGAGAGTAATTTTTTGTTCAACCCCCGGCCAAGGTTGGAAAAAGATAAAACAAAGGGCTTTTTCAAGATAACTCAAAAAGGGTAAGAGCTAGAAAAAAAAGTTTTTCATGAAAGTTGTAAAGCAGACAATTCTACATAAAAATGGTCTCTTAGCTTTTTCTTGTACTATTAAAATTAACAGAGTTAGGGAGGCTAGAAGTTAAGGGAAGATTTCAGAAATTTAATTTTGTTAAATCACTAAAATTAACGATTAAAAATTTGATTTTTTGTTATAACTTTCTTATTAAAAATTAAAAAACATATCTATTTCTCTGAAAAGAAAAGTTACATATTTTAGAGCAGATTGAAAAAAAAAATTACAAAATTCAATCATTTTTCTGTTTGTTATGATTTTTTTTAAATTTCTGAAATCTTCCCTTAACTTCTAGCCTCCCTAATTCTGTTAATTGTAATAGTACAAGAAAAAGTTAAGAGGCCATTTTTATGTAGAATTGTCTGCTTTACAACTTTCATAAAAAACTTTCTAGCTCTTACCCTTTTTGAGTTATCTTGAAAAAGCCCTTTGTTTTATCTTTTTCCACCCTTGGCCGGGGGTTGAACAAAAAATTACTCTCACTTATTGTTATAATATACCTTAATCTAACTCATATCAAAAATTCAGCCAAGTTGGCAAAATTTCGATTTAAAGGCTTAGTTAATTGGACTAATATCTCAAATCAATGCCACTGGCTTGGGTTGAATTGAAGCTAAGCTAAATTTTGTCAGGATATTTATTAAGTACTTGTACAAACTTTAAAGGGTGACTCTTTGACATAATTTTAAGATAAAAAGTTCATATGAACATAGGTTCTTGAGATGTATGATTCTTTGTTTGGTATTTTGATTATATTTTTGTTCAATAACATGGCAATTTGACGAAATTCGGATTAAATAATAATGAGAAACTTAAATATTAACTTTTTTTGTTTAATGTTAGAGGGCGCCACATACAGTGTTGTATCTGGATTAAAATAGCCATAACTTTTTTATGTCGCACTATATGTCATTTTTGACCAAATATACCCATTCTCCATTCAATTTTACATACAAAAGGTACTCTAAGTATTGGTCGTTGAAAGCAGCCTTTTTGTAAAAAACGGGTTTAAAGCTAAACCTGCGTTGGAATTTTGTAAGTTGAATCATTAAGAATTTTTGAAAAACAAATAAAAAAACGTGTCTTTTATTGACTGTATTGCAATTTTTTTGGACGCTCTGTATCTCGAGAACCAAGCCGTGGCGGACTCATGTTCATATTAACTTTTATCCTAAAATGTCAAAGATTCACCCCTTAAAGTTTGTACAGGTACTTAATAAACACCCTGTATAGTGTACACACAATTCTCTCAATATTTTAACACCTTATGAAAATATTTTTAAATTTGACGCCTACGAATATTTTAAAAATTGGACAAATTGGTGTTTCTAAGAAAAAAGCTTTGGACAGCTGAATATAAAAATTAACTACAAAACTGTTTTCACAAAAAAATTGAAATTTTTTGTTTGAAGTATGTACCTATAATTTTAAGTACAATGTACCTAATAATTAGATTCTAAAGAAAATATTGGTACCTAGGTATACCAGTTATAAGTACGTTTTTTTAGGGGGGCTTTTCATAATTAATTGTCTTATTTAAAAAATGTCTAAAAAAAATTGATACAATTATTTTTTTGTGAAATGTTTTGGGGCAATTTTAGATTTATTTAAATAGGAGGAAAATTTATTTTAAATTTGAAAAAAAATCTAAAAATTTTGATTGATATTTGATAATTGGTTGACATATTTGTGTATGAACTTAGAAAATAAATGTATTTTTTTATTCCAACACTGTATCTCGAAAATGAATCGTTCTGTAACCGAATAAAGTGTGGATTATGCAATTGGGGCATCTCCTATATTACTTTTTGGAAACAGAATATTTGAATAAAATCTTTGAAGTTCCGTTAATGTCAGTAGGTACTTGGTTTACAAGATTTTCAAGATCGAATGCCTCAAGGTCTTTAAATAATCTTTTTCAACAAATGAAAGTCAGAATTATCTGCATTTTGAATAAAATTATATAGGTACAGGGTGTTCTGAAAGTCCTTCAAGAAACTCCGGGAGGTGATTCTACGGATTAAACTAGTAACATTATGTACCTAATGAAAATTTTTTCGAATTGTCTATTGTTTAAATGTTTAAATTTCTGTGATGTCTAGCAAGAGAAAAAAGTTATGAACAAAACAAATTTTGAGTTCTAGGTAAAGTGTCATTTAGAGGTGCAGAATGAAACTTTTCTCTGACTGTTCCAATAGAGCTTCATCTACTTGGTGGGTGTGCCAAATGAGGGACTAATCGAACATGAATTAAATAAGTTATTTAAATAGAAAAATAAAAAAAAATGAACTTTGACAAGCTGTAACTTGCAAACAATTGACAATTCGAAAAAAATGTCATTACGTACTGCTATTATTTTAATCCATAGAATCACCTCCCGGAGTTTCCTGACGGACTTTCAGAACACCTTGTATTTCGTACACTCGAACCAATAAAAAAAGTCATTTCGTAGATTTTACTTTTATAAGAAAGTGGAAATAGCAGTTTCAGAAAAAATATTAACAATTTATAATTAGTGATGATTTATTAATGAATATTTTTAATTTCAGGCGACAAAGAATATAAAATTCCAAACTTGAGTCCACTCCATCTTCCTCAAATTGACATCGCCTCAGGTGGAAACTTCAAAATCAAGTTTAACGATATTGTTTTGAGTGGTCTTGAAACAGTCGACTTTAGAGACATAAAGTAAGTGCATAACATTTTTACTTTAGCGTAAGTATCTAATGGTATTACGGTATCGAACCAAAAGTTCGTTGCTCTGCTTTTTGTCAAGTCAGCAAAATATAAAAAAAATCATTAACAGTTTTTGCAAATTCTACGACTATTACTTAATCTTACTAGGCTTATTTTCCTACTCTCGTATGTAGATGACTTCAATGATGAGCAAGAACAGTAACCGTAAAAATATACCGATGGATAACAAAGGTTAATTATGATGAATATTCGCGCTAAACCAACTTCTTTTTAAAGATTATGGTTCATATATTGTAAATTTCATAACTTCGGGAACATTTTAGTATGCGGGGTAGCATCAGTTTAGTTGTTAGAGTCGGCCATCAATAAATTTATTATTTTCTATTATTAATTACATGTACTTACTTATTACATTAGTAGGCCTGATTTATCTACGTTAGAAATGTAAACGAATATTAATTTCACCCAAATAACTGAGATAATTGAGGTTTAATTTCTGAATTTATATAAAAATAAACACAACAAGGGCAACTATGAACTCTTACACAAATACACTTAAAGTTATTGAACCAAATTTTCAATTAAATAAAATATTAACACGTAAGGTTACATTCTGTAAAAGATAATACGTGATATAATTTCAAAAAACCTTTGATACCTATAACAATAATCGACATTGCGATTCAAAAGTTGTCATCCGGGATATAGCAGCTCTAAATGTTCTTCTTTATTGTCAACAGAGTGATTAATATGCCACTGACGATATGTTTGTTATGCAGAAAGCTTTGTTAATTTTCGTATTTGACCTTTCTAATATTGTTTGTCTATTTAAAATCTGCCAATGGCATGTGCAGGCAGCCTGACTTGCATACGCGCTTTGTTTGCCGTTTCGAATTAAACGTGTACGGTTAGCTTTAAATTGAAATCGTGCGCAACAATAGATTTTTGAATATATGGAGCTTTATACGGTAACAATAAAGTTATCTTTTTCATTTTTTTTGCAACTTTACTCTTTAATAACAATATTAGGTACAGATGCTGTTGTAAATATGTTTCTTTAATAACTAAATGTAATTGTATTATTACATTTTGAGTGATTAAAAAAGAAGAAAGTTGTATTTGTCAATTCATATAAAAAGGGTCTTCTCTCTAATTTTCTTTGGGGCACACGATTCGAATGTTTTCTTTTTCTATTTATTGACCTTCTAGATGTACCTAATTGTTGAATTAATTATTATGGCCAGGTATATTAAATTTTGTAGGCTTAAACTTTCTAAACTTAATAAACTTAAAAAGTTTATTAAATTCCTTTTCAGTTTAAAAACTAGGGGGCAGTGAAAATGCCAACACTGTTATACTTCAGCCAAATCTGGTTTTTCGATAAGTTTCTTTGGACCAATTAGAACCAATATCTACAATTAGTTTCAAGAAAACAAGCGAAATTAATTAAGAAATACCTGGAGCAACAGTTCAAGGTCAATGGAATCGGCGTTTGGCACACGTGTTAGTCATTGGATTGACCGTCTTTTCCATATATTTCATCAAAATCCATCGCTATTTGTAATACCTAATAATGCGTAATTTTCGAAAACTGATATTTCCGCGTTCAACATTTATTTTACAGTTAACAAATTGGTGAAACATGACTTTGGGTACCTTAAATTGTAAGTAATTTAATTGCCTACAACATAAAAAAAACTAATTTTCCGATAGGTCGTCTAGATTTTCGTGGGCAGTAAAAAAGTGAAGAAACACGTAAATCTGCCACTTATTTGCAATTTGCCAACCTAACGTCACTTCTATCGAGTTGCTTTTTTGATATTATTCTTCTACATATACCCTTCTCCGTCATAAAGTGCAATAAAATGTGTACTAATAATTTTTTCAAGTTCAAACTCTAATTCGATTGGAGTATTAAGTAATTGGTTATTTTCTTAGTCTTAGATCAGTAAGTAGACATTATTATTCACTAACGAAAAGACATCTAAAAAAAACAAGATTTGTAAAATACCTATTCGGAACGTGTATTCTAAAATAATTTAAAAGGGTATCTAGTTCGAAGTAAACTAAACTTATATGAAGATAATAATTTTCTCACAATTTAGCTTAGGTATATGAAAGCGACAGTCTGGAGATGAAAATACTTTTCTTCCACTTCTACTTAACCTAAACAATTAATAATAATTTACATGGTTACCATGTAAATGTTGTTTTAATTTAACATTGAATTTAATTTGATGTGTTGAAAAAATATTATTTCCATGCTGAATTAAACCAAAAATTCTAGATTGGCTACCTTTTTACCATTAGGGATTTGTTTCAGTATAAATTTGAAAAAGAAAACCATACGCGTTACCGTTGCCTTTTCTTCAGTGAATCTAAAGGGTCAGTATGAAATGGATGGCAGGATTTTGGTTCTACCTCTAAAAGGAAACGGACCAGCAGATCTAACGTTCGGTGAGCTTTGCAATAACTTGTTGAACATAATTAGTCCAAGCATTATAGAGAAATGCTTACAGAAATTATTACCTGGACAAAAAAATATGACCGTATAGAAAATTAAATTTTAAATTGAGTTTCTGGTTCTTTAAACTCGATCCAATATGGCGAACATGGTTAAAAAAAATCGCAAAGTTGAAAAAAACGGTTTTTCTAAAATAACTAAAAAAATATAGCACGGATTGAAAAATTTTAAATGAGAAAGTTGTAGGTTTTAAAAAGATCTATCGACTGATTTTTTGAAAGTATCGATTGCTTTGTTACTTTTCGAGATATATCGAAAAAACCGTTAAAAATCTTCTCTTTTCTCTTCTTCTATAACTCGTTTACATTTACGTGCCCATATTTGCTATTTACTGCAAGCATAGCCCGCGGCAAGCCAAAAAAGTACATTTTTGAAAAATTTAAAAATATTAATTATTTTTCGAGATATATCGATTTTTTGAAAAAAAGGCGCTCTCGAAAATTGGCTAGATCTTCTCAGCGGATAGCCCTACAGTAACGATTTTCGGTTTATTTTCTTCGTAAAGAGTTATATTATCATGCTGTTAAAAAATGTTGACGATTTTATTAATTTTAAGGATCAAAAAATGACTGAAAAAGTTGCACTTTTTTTGGGTATGTTTTTTTCAAATAACTATTTCAATTTTTATTATTTTTTTGTACTTAATCTGGGGTAGCTAAACACGAATATTATAGCATTTTCGCCTTAGAAGCAAAATAGACCCGTAAATGTTTAGTTTTCTTTCTTTAAAAGTCATTTTCATAAAATAAAAATTGAAATAGTAATTTGAAAAAAACATACCCAAAAAAGTGCAACTTATTCAAAGTCATTTTTTGATCCTTAAAATTAATAAAATCGTCAACATTTTTTAACAGCATGATAATATAACTCTTTACGAAGAAAATAAACCGAAAATCGTTACTGTAGGGCTATCCGCTGAGAAGATCTAGCCAATTTTCGAGAGCGCCTTTTTTTCAAAAAATCGATATATCTCGAAAAATAATTAATATTTTTAAATTTTTCAAAAATGTACTTTTTTGGCTTGCCGCGGGCTATGCTTGCAGTAAATAGCAAATATGGGCACGTAAATGTAAACGAGTTATAGAAGAAGAGAAAAGAGAAGATTTTTAACGGTTTTTTCGATATATCTCGAAAAGTAACAAAGCAATCGATACTTTCAAAAAATCAGTCGATAGATCTTTTTAAAACCTACAACTTTCTCATTTAAAATTTTTCAATCCGTGCTATATTTTTTTAGTTATTTTAGAAAAACCGTTTTTTTCAACTTTGCGATTTTTTTTAACCATGTTCGCCATATTGGATCGAGTTTAAAGAACAAGAAACTCAATTTAAAATTTAATTTTCTATACGGTCATATTTTTTTGGTCCAGGTAATAATTTCTGCAAATTTAACATTAATCCGTGACAGAATGCTTGGACTAAATATCATTAATGTTTTGAAATAAATGATGAGCTACAATGAATTTCCTTGCAGATGATGTGGTAGTAGACTACTTTTTCCAGTTCGAGCTAATTAAGAAAGGCGATGGAAAAGAATACATCAATCCCGACATCAAGCCTGAAATCAAATATACGCTGAGGAATGCTCATTACCATTTTGATAATTTGTTCAATGGAGACAAACTTTTAGGTGATATTGATCGTAGTATTTTTTACATTTATGAACACGAAATTGAAAAAAAAATCTAAGTGATTTATGAAATAGGAAGTTCCAAATAGGACGTATTCAAATACAGTTTTTTTCTTATATACCAATATTTTCATTAATTTTCAGGTGACCAAACCAATGCCTTCTTGAACGAACATGCCTCAGACGTCAATGAAGACCTAGGAGAGTCGATATCCCAAACTATCAGTGCTGTGGTGACGAATATCATTCAACGTATCCTGGCAGTTGTGCCTTACGACGAAATATTTATTTAATTTAACACATATTTAATTATTTTGGTTTATTAAATGGTTGAGTTTTTAGTTATTTTGTTTCTAATTTTATGTCTGACAGCTATGATTTTTAATATCGATAATTTTTTTTGTAAATTTTATAAGGTACACTATAAATAACAAAGGTTCAGGTATTTCATGACATACAGTATAATTAATCAGGGTTAATGTTTTGGTAATGCCTGAACATTGATTAATTTGTAGGGTAGGCAGCACATCAAACACGTATTTTTTTAAAAAAGAAAGACTATAATATTAAAATAATTAGATATAAAAAACTGTAGATCCATTACTTGGTAATTTCGCAAAGTTCTTAAAAATGTATCCGCATTTATTCTCTTTTTAAAAATCACCGAAACAATATATTCATAACTACTAAAAAAGGTCAACTACTACTAATCTCGTTTGTTCCACTTTGTCTATTTCTAGTATCTACTCTATAGTTTTACATAAACTTGAATCTCATGGATTCTGTGACAATTTTTTAAATCTGTTCAAGTCATATTTGGCGAATCGCCTGCATACGTTATTTACAATGGATTTAAATGTAGCCGTTACTTTTTTCATCTGGAGTACCCCAGGATTCTAATCTGGGTCCTCTTCTCTTTTCTAGTTTTATTAACGACGTGACTACCTTCCTCAATTATTTGCGGCATTAAATGCAATTTATGCTAATAAATTAATATATGCAGACGACTTGAAAATGTTTCCTCTGTGTCGTGTTGATGATTGTGTTCATCTTCAGGAGTAGTGGAATGATGTGATTTAATTCATTTATGTAAATATATCTAAATTCAAAGTGATTTAGGCGTCTATTTTGACAATAAACTGACCTTCTCAAATCACATTCAGAATTTAGTATCTGTGATAAGACAAGGTCCCGACTTTCATTTCATGATAATAATGTCAGCTCTAAACAAGAATACTGTCCACTGATTTGAGTTACTTTGTATAATGTTCGTATAAAGTTAATCGACTGTACAGAAAAAGTTTTTAAAAAAGTTTAATAAATTAAATTGCCAGCTTCTCCATTAGACGGTAGATTTAGGACAGATGTGATCAGACTCCTTAATAATTTATAGATCATAGTCTCAAAATAGGCTCTTGATAATAATGTTGACTGCCCAGAGATTTTAAATAAACTATTCTTTAAAGTAAGACCTTCATATCGCTCTCGTGTTATACTTAATTCCTCAGCTGCCATCAGTAACGCAAACTTAAGATCTCCCATAGCTTTCATGGTACATAGTTATAATTCAATATGTAATTCCTGCGATGTATTTAGTTGTAACGTTAAATGCTGTTTGAGAAACATCGAATTGCAATTACTTACATTTTCGATTATGACTTTATATTTTATAACTATGTATATATTGAAATGAAATCAGATATGAGATAACAAATCAAAATGTAAAGCAAAGGTCTATTTAAAAGACAAAGCAGTAAATATAATGGGTTTGAAGTGGTTATTATTATTTATTGTTGTTAGTATTGAATCAGTATTAGGAATCATATCCGTTACCGATATCTAATAAAAGTTAAAATGTTAGAGTATTTATAAATAGTTATAGTATATGGTATAATATTAAGTAGGAAAAAATATTAAAGGTCAAAGAAGAGTGTATATCAATAAATCAATATGTCAAAGAAATGTCAAAAATTTAAAGTGTGATTCACATGGAATCAAGTAGTAAATAGAAAAGTAACATAATAGTAGAGAATGAGAAATATTTTGAAGTGGAATGTAAATGGAGATTGTTAAGAAACTATAATAGGGTATAAGTGTAAAGGTTAAGTGAAGTGAGGTGAGTGAAAAAGAAAAAAAACCGGCAAGTAAAAAGAAAGCAGAACGAGATATGTGAAAAGACCTTAACAGAGGAAAAACTAAAATCAAGGTAGTGGAAAAAAAAGATAATAATTATTGATTAGTTACAAGAAATTAGAGAGAGAGACGTCAGATATTATAGAAAAATATTAAAAGAATCCGGAAGACAAGTCAAAGCAGCAGAAAGAAAACGAACTATACACGTCAGCAGCAGAGAGAAGGGGAAAGCCAGCAGCCAAGAGAAAGAAAGACGATCACAGGCGAGGTCCAGGAAACCAGACAAATATGAGGCCAGAGGAGCAGCATCAGTGGCAGGTTACAAGAAAATTAATCAGAAAACGGTGTAGCAGATAGTGAAACAGGAAAGGAAAGGAAACAAATAAAAATCGGTATATAAAAAGAAAAGGTACCTTTCTTTCTTTTAATTGTCGTATAAAATTTGTGCACAGACTAACAGTAAATTTCGTTTAAAAACTTGCTATATTTAAAATCAATCAGTTGAAACAAATTTAAGTCAGTGATATATCAAGCATTATCCAAATATTTGGCCAATTATTTAAATTTATAGATCATAAGATTAGATATAAAGAGGAACACATTAAAACAAGAAATTACACGAGTAAATATAAATTAAGTCCAAAAAGGCAACCAGTAATACAGATCGAAATAAATTCTTGTTTTAAGTGGCCAAAACATTGTAAGAACTTCAAAATATTTGACAATTTGTGTGACATTTCTTATTTGAAACATTGATATACTATATTAAATACCAGATTGATATTAATAAATTAATTTAAAACATCTCTTGTTTTTAAGTTGTTAGTTTGCATGGTTTCTGGAAGAATACTAGTTTGAATTGAACCAACTCCTGAGCAGGGTCTACAGTTAGCAGGGCAAAGTATACAACCAACACTACACTAAAAAGTAAAATTACAGGTTACACTAAAACTTAATTTAAAATTAATTTGGCGCTCATATAAACACATAGAAAAAGTATCACATAACTACACCATAACAATATCTATATTTCTCAATGAAGCTTATGTTATTTTCTATTTGCTTTATTGAAGTGGCTACACATTTTTTTCTTTGTAGTTTTAGAAAAGATATATGTAAATTGTCCGGTAATTGATAAAATTACAAATAAGTTTTATAAATGAATAATATGAATAATATCTTATATTTAAAATTCAATAATAGATTAAAAAAATACTAATAATGCTTTTAAAAGTTAGTTTATATCCTATTATAGAACTAAATACTATTTGTATGTCAGTAAATAATTTTGAATGTATTTTGAAGTCATGTATAGTGTGTTGTCTAATCTAGAAGATATTAACACGTTTAAAAAAATAGGGGCTATATTTTTCTAAAATAAAGGATTTTGAGAATAATATGACATAGATCGATAAACTTTATTACAATTTAAATATCCTAAAATTTAATTTAGAAGAAAATCTGAAGAAACCGGTAAATATATTTTTCTTGTAATAAGATGACGAATACACAATTAATATAGATACGCTTTTCGATCTATTCTGACTGTAATCCTTAAAAGAACTGTAAATAGATAAAGTAATTACGAAAATATAAAATACCATTACAAATAAATAATATTTTGTAACAAAACCATTCTATATTAATGCCCCCTGAAGATGAGTGGTATGATCGTTTAATAATAATTATGGATTGTCATTAAGGACGTTTTTATGACTCGGCAAACCGGATATTGTATGCAGAATTAGTATTTAAATATCGAACAGGTAAAAGCTAATGCAGTCGCCATGTTACGTGTTGTATTTTTAGTTGCCTTTGGCACCTTTTCCGTGGCTAAGCATTTGCGTAAGTTAATTCAATTTTATATTTCATAAAATTTAAGTACGAGTAAGAATTAATCAAGAAGAAAGTAAATTCTATACAATATTTCTATATGTTAATTTTTTTTAATTCGGTTTCAGCTCCTTACATTAAAACCTGCAGAAAGGATGATCCTAATTTTGATGAATGTGTCAAGAAGCACGCTTCGGAAGCAATTCCAAATATTTTAAAGGGTAAGTATATTTACATAATCTTTGTTTTAATTGCTTTTGAATAATTATAGTTAAGTATATGTATATCATTATGAATTTCAGTTGTACATTCAAATCGCTCATTGATTTAAAGCTTTGTAGTGTCATATTGTTAGTTGAATTTAATTTTATACGAAGAAGACAAAATTATACTTATTTTTTTAGTTGCAATAATTGGAAATTATTTGAACTATTTGCAGATTTGTTTACAAGTTGTAGACAAGTACCTATTTTCGTCCAGACATTTTAATGAGTTGATTTACAAGCATAAAATATAGTTATTATATTTCAGTATAACATTAAAATCGTCATGGAATGGAATAAATTGTAACTTTTATAATTTAAGGTATCTGGTATAATGATCAATATACTAATGCTGCAGCTGTTATACAGCTAGATATTAGATTATAATTACATAAATACTCAATATTAGTTATTGTACCAGTATAATAATACCTCAAACAAATAAATTTCGATATATTCAAAATTATATGGGTCTGTTTAGGAAACAGTAATGTTTTTTGAAAAATTAGAGGATATACAAAATCTAAGTACGTCTAATAGGAATTTTTTTAGATATAGGTAAATAAACACGGATACGAATATGATTATAAATCGTATCCCTTTGAAAAAAATCTAGAGGCAAGCTTATTTATGGTCGTGAAGTAACTGGATGTCCTTTAAACTTTTGTAGCCTGCGTCATATGCAGTTTTATTACATAAAAAACTTGTATATGCAATTCTAAAAACATTTTATGTCCAAAATTTATACCCTTCTCAATTAAATGATATTATAACGCAACTAAAGATTTGTGATAAATTGTTTTATTTGTGGTTACATTATCTTGCCAGCTGTAAAAAAATCATATTAAATGAAACTAGATAAAAATATATCGCATATTTTTCACTTCACTTCAGTTTGAATTTTTTCACTGGAAAAAGACTCATATACACAGACAACTTTATATCAGTGCAAAACACACAAAATTTGTTGGTTGAAGGTCTCAATGTGACCTTTTTCCTTTGAGAAATGAGAATGTCACGCATATATTAATTATAAAACTATTATTATTCTTAAGAATAATATATAATACTTTGTTTCTGTGTTAAACAAAAATAACATGGGGATAACTAACCATAAAGGAAATCCTTGTGCTAAACATGTCTTTTTTTTCAGGTGACCAAGAATTCAAAATTCCAAATTTGGAACCATTTACCATCCCTGAAATCTTATTAGACGCTGGTAGTGATATATCAATTAAATTAAACGACCTAGTTCTAAAGGGAATCAGCAACATTAAACTGGAAGATATTAAGTGAGAATTTGTATATAATTATTCATTTTTGACACTATAAAACCCGTTTCTTTTAACAAAAATCTAGAAATGTACGGATAAATTCTTATTCGTGAGATACTAAAATAGACGCTAACAAACTGGCTACAAACTAATCGACCTTTTCTATTCAAATTTGGTTGTTTTATACTAGTAAGGAGCTTCATCTAAATAAACAAGTTATTCTTTCATTTGCATGACAGAATAAATTACAGTTAACTGAGAAAAGTTTTCATGAATATCAACAACTCAAGTTGTCTCAAGCGTTCGTACAATATTTTTTTAAAAATATTATAATGCAATACATTTATGTTTCGATTATTTGCATTATTTCTAGGTCCTTTTTTACTATTTTCAAACTAATATTTACGATAGTGTGGGACAACTTTCAGACAGAACTTTTTGACCTACATTTTTACAGATTTTCATGACAATTCAAATTTGTGCTTCTAGAATTGATATAGAAAAACAACATGCTTACATCCAATTTTTCCTGAAGACCGTGAGTATTGATGGCAAGTATGACGTCGATGGAAGAGTATTAGTGCTACCAATTAAGGGAAATGGACCACTTCACATAGACTGTCGTAAGTTTTTATAGGATCGAGTGAAAAATTAAAACATTTGCCGATACATATCTTTAATATAATTTTAGAAAATTTGATAGTGGATTACGTCTTGGATTACAAGCTCCTAAAGAAAGACGGCAGAGAATACGTCGATCCCGATGTATCGTCAAAGGTCTCATATACACTGGAAGAAGTTAATTTAAGATTAGACAATTTGTTTAATGGTGACAAGGAACTAGGTAAAATAATTACAAGAGTTTTCGTTAAATTTAGTTAATATTTTAACTGTTTTTAGGTGACAGGACTAACGAATTCTTGAACGAACACGCATTGGAACTTAACAATGACTTTTCGAGCACGCTCTCTGAGGTTATTAACACCGTTGCTACAACTATTTTCAAGAAAGTATTGCCGTTGGTGCCCTACGATGAAGTATTCCCATAAAAATGTAACAGATTCTGTGTGATTGTTAATTAGGCAAAATATATGTTTTTGTTGTTTAAATCCTATCCGTGATTAAAAGCAGCAACAATAAATTGGAAAGGTACTACTGGTTGCATAAAACTGAGCGTAAATGAAAAATACTTGTGTTAAAAAAAGTTTTTTTTTTTTTATTAGGAAGAATTGTCAATATATGAAGCAGGCCAACACTGAGATAAAAACATTAATACGCATCTATTGACCCTCTGAAAAAACTGGTGGTTAGTTTTTGTTTAGCATCTATAGTTTGTCAAGATATTGAACAAACGAATTATGTGACACGACAAAAAGCTTAAAAGAAAACGCAAGTGTCATTCTCTTTAAACATTAATTGAAGACAGATTTTATAAATAAATTTAAGAATATTGAATTAGTCTAACTGTAAGATTTTTCCTAACAAAAAAAAAATCGTTGAAAACCGTCAAAAGCTAGTTCTATCAAGTTACGCATAGGTGTTCGTTAATATTTTCAAATAATTATAATTATTCATGTTTAGACTTTATAGTCACATAATGTTAGAGTGGCTCTTATGACTCTTCGGAGAATTAAATAATCATTCCAATTTTTTATGTAAATATAATTATTGTTAGTGTATTTCAATCATTTTATATTGATGTAAAACTAGTTCGTAAACGTGAAGGAAGAATTAATTACATATAACTTCCTATAATTTCTATAATTTAATTGAACTGTATTTGTAGGTAAATCATATACAGGGTGATCCATTAACGATATCGAGCGGTTGTATATAGGAAACTAGACGTGCTACGATTATGGAGTAAAAAATTTATTGACAAATATGGCCAAAAGAAATTGATTTAAAATATTTTCAAAGTTGTAACTTAGCCGCTAGAGGGTGCAACTGCTATAGTGTTACAGAGGATTGTCGGTTTTTCGAAATTTCGTCTATATAAACTAACTTGAAAATACACATCTAGATACAATGTTAAACCCTTCACAAGTTTTGTTTGAATATTTTTTTTGTTATTACCATAGCAACGCCAGTATGAAGGACGCCATCTTAAAATTTTTAAATTTTCGTAACTTCTGAATGCCTTAATCGATTTCAATAAATGATTGCTCATTTTAAAGAACTATTAATAAAATTTATATTTATGATAATGGAATAAAAATATTATTTTCTTACGCAACGATAGACGACGCTAATGAGAAAAGTTTTGTAATTGTCTCAGTTTACTAAAAAAATTAAATGCAAGTTGTGCTAGAACCTCCTCCTTTATTTAGTTCTCCAAATAACATTGACATAGTCCAAGCCAAAAATAAATTGTAATTAATTGTAAACCTACACCTATCTTGTCCTTAAAAATAACTTGCTTTATTTTTAAATTTTTTAAAATGTGGGTACAATTTTTAATTTTTTTATTAATTCCAAATATCTCAGTATTTATAATGATTATTATTTCCATAACGAGGCAGGCTATGCTCTATGAAAATAGACAACTGAAAAATTATACGAAACGAAATGTGACAGCTCTTGCTACGTGCAAAATTATTGTTATTTGTATTGGAAAAGTATTTGTGAACAAGGAAAATGCCTTTTACGTATGTGGAAGCGTATGATATGATGGCAGTTTATTTTCAATGTTTGGAAAATGTCGTTATAGCTTCAAGAGAATACGCTTTGCGTTACTCTGGTAGAATATGCCACTCCAGAGAAGTATTTAAGCGTTTATCTAGACGCCACTAAATTCTGTAAGAAGACTTCGCCGTGCAAGAACGGAAGACAATATTATTATGTTGGCTTGTGTCCATGTAAATCCCCAAATAAGTGTTAGGGAACTTCCACATACGTAAAAGGCATTTTCCTTGTTCATAAGTACTTTTCCAATACAAATATCTAACACTAATTTTGCACGTAGTGAGAGTTGTCACATTTCGTTTGGCATAATTTTTCAGTTGTCTGTTTTCATTGGGCATAACCTGCCTCGTTATGGAAATAATAATCATTATAAATACTAAGATATTTGGAATTAAAACAAAAAATGAAAAATTGTACCTACGTTTTAAAAAATTTAAAAATAAAGCAAGTTCTTTTTAAGGGCAAGATAGGTGTAGTTTTATAATTAATTACAATTTATTTTTGGCTTGAATTATGTCAATGTTATTTAGAGAACTAAATGAAGGAAGATGTTCTAGCACAACTTCACTATTTTAGCAATAACTTGAAAACGAAAGAAGATATCGACCTCCGGTTTATGTATTTGTTTTCCTTAATGAATGGTCTATCAAGCCATGAAAAAATAACTATATTGTTGCCTTTAATTTTTTTAGTAAACGGAGACAATTACCAAACTTTTCTCATTAGCGTCGTCTACCGTTGCGCAGGAAAATAATATTTTTATTCCATTATCATAAATATAAATTTTATTAATAGTTCTTTAAAATGAGCCATCATTTATTGAAATCGATTAAGGCATTCAGAAGTTATGACAATTTAATTATTTCAAGATGGCGTCCTTCATACTGGCGTTGCTATGGTAATAACAAAAAAAAGTTTAAACAAAACTTGTGAATTGCTTAACAGTGTATCTAAAAAGTATATTTTCAACTTCGGTTGAACATGTTTTAAATCAATTTCTTTTGGCTGTATTTGTTAATAGATTTTTTACCCACCCCATAATCGTAGCACGTCTAGTTTCCAATATACAGCCGCTCGATGCCATTAATGGATCACCCTGTACTAGTACTTACTACTTCTATAAATAATTCTATTTACGTCAATATATTGCGAAGTGAATCTAGACAAACTAGAAATGTATCAACAATTTAGAGAAAAAACTGCTAATGCATTAATGATGCATTAACTCTAAACAAATTTTGAACTGATGATATTATATATTGCACCTCTAAAGACATAATCGTATCTTAAAAATAATTAACAATATGATTAAAAAAAACTTATGTGTTGTGTGTCAGCAATTATTTTTTTGTTTGCTTTAATAATATCCATTTATTGCATTCTATACGTCTCAGAAAACTTTATATAGTGAAGATAAAATAAATATAGCAAGAGTACCTACTGCGAATTAGAAATTTAAAAAGGACTTCAAGCAATTATTTGTTTAATTAATTATTTTAATGTGCACATGCTGTCAAATATGAAGGTTATTACATTATATGACAAGGAGAATTACTTCAGCCCTCAAGGATATAAAATATTCACATTCATTTTAATTACTATCTGAGTTTGGTTATACGAGGAAATAACATTAAATTAATTACAAAGTGTTGTTTTGTCTACTTTTTTTTTTGGAGAATCCCCCTGCTTCCATAAACTTGTAGACATTAACACCTTAAAATATTATCAGCATAATTTTTGCAACGTAAATTTGTAATTTTTGAATTTTTTCGACACGATGGCATGTGAGATGTTTCTACCATATTGATAGGGTTTTAGTAAAGATGAACCATTTAAGGAACATTTGCGGTGGTCATAGTTCACTTAGCAAAACGATAATAGCGGCGATGTTGGTTTAAATCCATACCGAAATGTAATTTTATAAAAAACTATTTTGTAAAAAATGGCCTATGTATGTTAAAAGGCAGAGAGGCTATGTAAAAAAATAGGACACACTAATTATAACATTATTAGCCAATATTAGTTTTTAATTTGTGGAAAATAACTTCTCTGCGGACTAACACCCTGTGCAGCATTGATTTACACCAACAGTATCTAGTAAACACCTAGGACCAGTTGTCAGTAGAGTCACCAGACATATACCGGTTTCGAATTTATTGGTTATCATCGATATGCCATAGATGAATAATTTTGTTATTTTAATGTGTATCTACCGATATTTTGAGTATGTGCGAGTATAACCTGTACTATAACCTGTTATATTTTAATTGCCACTGTTACACAATGCCTACAACCGACATTCTACTGACGAATGATCTTAGTTGTTTATTAGATATTGTTGACGTAATTCAATGTTAGACGGGGCTTTAGTCCGCAGAGTAGCTGTTTCTCAAAATATAATTAGCTAGTAACTTATTTCGCCTAATGCTACAAAAAGTCGATTATCTCGAAAACTATCGATATTTTAATAGGGATCATAACACAAAGTCCCGTTAATTTTTCACGTAGAATTCGATAATGCCATAAAAAATATAGGTTTCCATTTAAAAAAATTAAGTTGGTACCTGCCCAGGAAAAACTGAACACCCTGTATATGCAAATATATTTTCATTTTGTGCAGCTCGGGAAAGTAGGCAACTCTGTAGAAAAAAAATAAGTTACATGTATGTATCTTATTTTTTTTCTACAGAGT